GTTTTATTGGGGGATTTCAATTGTGTATTGAGCGTGAAGGATAGAATTAATAACCGCCATGTGCGAGACAGAAGTGTTGAAGTGCTCTATGACTTGCTGAATGAATCTGACCTGGATGATGTTGCGGAGTGCCTCGAAGCAGGTCGCGAAGTTCGATTTACGCATTTTCAGGGAACCAGTCACGCACGTCTTGATAGGATATACATGGCAGGGGAGACGCTAGCTAAAAGCAATAGTTACACAGTCTTACCTGTCTCTTTTTCTGACCATTGTCTTGTACAATGCAACGTGGGACTTAAACAAAAAGAAAACAAATTTAGTTGGGATTTATGGAAGTTTAACGCTAAACTACTTCGGGATGACATTTTTAATAATTTTGTAATTGAGGGAATTAAGAACGTTAAAGTGATTGGAGCCTGTAATGTTGGCGAGGAATGGGAGCTTTTGAAGCAAAGCGTTAAAATGAAAGCCATATTGAGATCTAGTACTTTAAAATATCAAGAAAGAATGAAAGAAAATGAACTCAGAACAACGCTTAAGAAATTGATAGCATTAGAAAGCAAGGAGCCCGGTGCATATAAGGAAGATATTCGAACGGTGAAACAACAAATTGAGCTAGTAAAGCAGGAACGCTACAGAGGAGCCCTTATTCGAGCAAGAGCAGAGGCGTGGGCTATGGGGGAGACTCCTACCACGCGCACTTGGAATCGAGAAATCACGAGCATGTCGTAATCACATCGACGAAATAGAGGAAAATGGAATTCTGCTAAATACTAACAGCACTATCGCTGAAGCTTTTTTTCGGTATGACAAGGGTCTCTTCGCAGCCGCATTAGTAGATGTTACGAAGATCAAGGGCACTTTCTTGAGCCGGATGCCGCAATTATCCCTCGAAACGAAAGAAGCGTTAGAGAGGCCTATAACCGTTTCTGAAATTGAATATGCAATAGATAGTCTCGCCGCTGGGAAGTCGCCGGGGCCTGACGGTCTCGGTGCGATGTGGTATAAAGCTTTTAAAACAGAAGTTTCACCAGTGTTACAAGCTGTGTTCAAGGAAGCCTACGTAATCAAAGCGTTACCACCTTCATTTGCCGACACGCACACTATTCTAATACCTAAGACGGATGACAAAGCAAAATTAAAACTAGTTTCGTCATATAGGCCCATTTCGCTAACCAACACTGACTACAAAATACTCATGAAAGTATTGGCAGGTAGATTGCAGTCCGTAGTCACTAGAATAGTTGGGGAGCACCAAACGTGTGGTATCAAGGGGCGCTCAATATTGATGAACACACACACAATGCGATGTGTGTTCATCGCATTGTGCATCACAATGCGATGACACATCACAATGCACATCACAATGCGATGTGAGAGTTGCGATGTTTTTAATTCTCATGTTGCGATTCTCCAGCTTGATTTAGAAAAGGCTTTTGACTGCGTCCCGCAAGATGTGTTATTCTCCATACTTGAACATGTCAATGTCGGATCGGTGATTACAGAGGGCATAGTTTTGGCGTATGAGAACTCTACTACACGACTAATTATTAACAAGATCCCAGGGTCTCCCATTAGGCTGGAACGTTCGGTACGCCAGGGATGTCCGGCAAGTCCACTCTTGTTTGCATTGTACATAGAGAGCTTATGCTTGGCCATAATAGAAAACGAGACCATTCGTGGTTTCAGACTGCTTGACGCCGAGGTAAAGGTTTTGGCATACGCTGATGATGTAGCAGTGTGTTGCACCACCAAAGAGAGTGTACAAGAGACAGTTGCCGTTGTTAAAAATTTTGAAGAAATTACAGGAGGTCGGGTTAATAGGGTGTAGCGGCGAGAGAAGAGAGACGTGAGACGGCGTCGAAGGCGGCCGACGGGGCCGTGCTGATCTCGCCACTTTATTGCACGCCTGAAGAGGAGCCGCGGTGGCTGTCCACGTCCGACGCGCCAGGTGCGTGAGCTCGTTCTAATTCTCGCGCAGCTCGAGCTCGCGCCAGCTGCGCGAGAGACGCGGCGCGGTGATGGAAAAAATGATGATGGTGATGATGGCACTACAGGGCTCCCCCCCTAGCACTTTGCGCGATTTGAAGGCATATGAAAAAAAGAAAGAGGGCGACAAATGCTATGTACATGAACGGCAGTCCATAAAGTGTTCCTTTGGCAAGTCCAGTTTGTCAACGTGTAGTGACCATCGGGAACCAGTGGGTCTCTGGTGGGCGACACTGAGAGTTGCGCAGTGGACGAAGAAGTAAGCGCTCGATGGAAAGAAATCCGTAATGGCGGATGGCTCGGTCCCAGAGGTCTTCAATCGTGGAAAGCACCTCTGGAATTTCGAGGTCTCGCGCCACTTGTGATGCGTTTCTGTAGGCGAAAGAGAGGCCGTACTCAGTGACGCTGTGAAGCGACACGTGACTGAGAACGTGCTCAACTGGTGCACTAAAGTGCGGGCTGTAAAGCGTGTCAAACGGGCCCGTGTCGTAGAGGCCGTCGTAGAAGGTGTAGTCACACACGCCGTCCGCAGGCAGCGGCTGCGACTCGTTCGTCGCCGTGCCGAATACGCGGACCACGGGAAATGGCGTCATGGGAGGCTGTGCAGGAAAGACGGGTTCAGTTGTCGCCTCAGTCACTGTCGAGGTATTCGACGCTGGTGGACTGGTGGCAGTGCTTGTTCCCATGCTTTCAGTTGGCTCCACAGTGGTTGTAGTTAAGTCGGTTGACTTGACAGACGTCATAGACAGTTCAGTTGGCTGGTCAGACGTCGTAGGCAGCTCAGTTGGCTCAACAGATGTCATAGGCAGTTGAGTTGGCTCCACAGATGTCGTAGGCACTTCAGTTGGCTCGACAGGGGTCGGAGACAGTTCAGTTGGCTCGACAGATGTCGTAGATAGTTCAGTTGGCTCGACAGATGGTGTAGGCAGTTCATACGCGGGACACGCGTCGCTAGTGGCCAGACGAGAGGAAGTCGGGAGGTCAATAACGGGTGAAAGGTCACCTGTGCCAGGCTCCGAGGCGGGCGGCAAGGTGGCCGTCATGGAGTTTGGTGGGGCCACGGTTGGTAGCACACGTTGCGACGCAGTGACAACCCCAAAGTCGCGGGCCCCTGGAAGCGGTTGGTACGTGAGGCCATTGCGGGCGAGCACCGCAGTGCAGAGGGCATCATAAGGCTGCGGGCTGGTGCTTGAAGTGGCAGCGAGATGACGCAACTCTACCGGAAGGGCGTCATGAAGAATGGCGTGCATCACGTCCGGGTCACCAATGTAGCGGCGAGAGAAGAGAGACGTGAGACGGCGTCGAAGGCGGCCGACGGGGCCGTGCTGATCTCGCCACTTTATTGCACGCCTGAAGAGGAGCCGCGGTGGCTGTCCACGTCCGACGCGCCAGGTGCGTGAGCTCGTTCTAATTCTCGCGCAGCTCGAGCTCGCGCCAGCTGCGCGAGAGACGCGGCGCGGTGATGGAAAAAATGATGATGGTGATGATGGCACTACAAGGGGAAAGTGTCTGGGGTTGTGGCACGGAGACTGGACATCAGCCCCAGATACCTATGCTAACGTTCACTGGTTTAATACTCCAGTAAAATATCTAGGTGTGCCTTTCCAGCACTACAAAGACACCAATGAGTACTGGACTGAACAAATAAAAGAAACGCGCGAAAGGACAGCGCAGTGGAATGGCAACTGTCTCTCAATGTTTGCTAGAGCCACTGTATGCAACATACTTTTAATGAGCAAATTATGGTATGTGATGCAGGTTTTGTGTTGCTCACGGGTGCATGTGCAAAAGCTGCATAGGATATTTGCTGTGTTTATATGGGGGTCTACTTAGGGAAAAATGTAGTAGGACAAATCTGTTCCGAAGAGTAAAACAGGGGGGACTAAGCCTGTCGCATCTGTTCGTGCGACAACTAGCTAATCGTTTTATTTTTTTCGAGATGTTCAACACCCCTTCTTAAGAACGGTATGCCAGTTACGCCTTTGTCGTGTTCTGTCTAACTTTCTGGTTAGCACCGTAAGCATGCCGGGAGCTACGCGAGGTTTCTTTAAGGAAGTTGCGGACAGTGTCCGGTTCTTGTCAGTTCGGTTTTCCAATGAATACCTTTTTTCGGTCGGGCGAAAGAAATTGCATAAAGACGTATGTGACATGATTTTTCCAGTTCCTATGTATAGGTTAATTAATAGCGGGGGAGAAGGCAATGATGTTCTTAAGCGTGTTAAGAAAATGCAAATTCAGTCTAGTGCAAAAAGCTTTTTCTTCAAATTACACTCCGGAACACTACCGGTTAAGACTTTTTTAGAAGATAGAGGAGTTTATATGCCATGGGGTTCAAACTGTTTGATCTGCCGAAAGCCGGAAACAATAGATCACGTTTTTCTGCATTGTTGGGAAGGGGTTTACTTCTGGGATGTTTTACAGAGAACTCTAAGAAAGGAACTTCCCTTACATTCACTGGGTATAGGTTTTTAACAGCAGAAAAAGAGGAGGGACTGCCTTTTAATCTTATAATGCTGCTTGGCCTCCATTGTCTATGGCGGGCAAGAATGGCCGGTTACTACTGTGACCCTGACAGGCGTCCGGCCCGTATGCTTTTCCGCGAAAGCATCGCTCAGTACATTCATATACTCAAACAACAAGATTTTGTTCCGGAATGGCTCTCCAGGGTCGAACCCCTGGTGAACCTGAAGGAATTTTAGCACTGTAATCACTAAATGTTCCGCAACTGTTTTGTCATCACTTCTGTTTGTATGTTACTGTTTACAGTGACTTATATTGATGTGTGTACCTTGTGCAAAACCGGTAATAAGGAAAAAAAAAAGAGCGAACAGTCTGTTTTTTCAATCAAGAAACTCGCTAGCAGATGTTTCTTGCCTACTACCATAAACATGTCTACATGTGCTCTTCGCCAAGTAGACAGACCGATCAGACACATGCTAATTAATGAGATTGGACAAGAGCACACTGCATCAAATTAAAATAGGTGCTTAGAATAATGAAGAGCTGAACTAGGTGGTAACTATTTATTCTAAAAAGACAGGGCGTGCAAGCACGTACACAAAACGGAAGTCACAACATTTCATTCATGCTTTTATTTTTTCTTTAATCATAGTCAATGTGTTTTTTTAATTGTCTTTGTGTCTGTTCTTGATCCAACGGGTATCTGTCCAGCTATCAATTTCAAAGTTAGGACACTACGAACGCCTGTGCAGTGTCCTGGCTTCGTTTTTCTGTCTTTCCTTATGTCTTTTCAGAAAAATCATATCGCATCTCAACTTGAAAGAAATAGGACTAATAATCCTTAGAAGCTTGAAGAGCATGTAATTGTCAATCTAAGAGTTCATGGTGGAGGTACCGTTGACAAGATTACATGAGCATTACATCATCATGACAAAACGACGCAGTGTTCCAAACCCAACGTAAATATAGGGCGTGCACAACATGTAATATAGAGCAACTAGAGCATGAAATTTATTCATCACGTAATATGTCCTCTTTTTTCCTATACAATACCACGAGTGTTTACCGATGCCTTCAATAAAAATGGTTCAAAAGCGAATCCTTCCAAGGCATAGAAAGGAGCCTGATATGTGACACTACAATGTCCCCGAAGCTGTTTATTCACGTACACACACACAAAAAAAGTGGTGGGTGAAGAGGAACTTCAACAGACTCTTTAAGCAAACAACTGAACTTGATCCTACTATCAAGACATCACAGAAATACGGTGGACATGAGGTCGTTCACACAGAGAACGCATGAGTGAAAGGTGATATGAAACAGCAGTTTGAGAAAACACATGACATGTTCTTAAGCAGCTGTCCTGAAGCAATAGTAAATATTCATGAAACAGTGCTTTGCAATTTAGTTCCTTTAATAGAAATTTGGGATGTGCTCAAGCACATAAATAAAAGTGCGTAAATCAACTGCACACAGCCACATACACACTTAGTCAAATGCATATGCAAGAATTGCTTTCAACATTCCCCACAAACTCCAATAATATAGCATCCTGTATGCTGATTAAGTGGTTCAGTGTCACATTTCATTGGTACACTTAGCCCCAAGTTCAACTCTTCTAAGCTACAAGTTCAAGTCACAGAATGAGATGCACATCATAAACATGCTTCTTCAGTCTTTTTCATCACAGTTCCCACCACCGGGCAAATTGTTCCTCACCGTCTTCAGGAACATCATCAGGAATCGGAAGTTCTGCTGTCAGGAACACCGTCCCTGCCTTTATGAGTTTTCATGTGGCGCTTAAGGTCCACCTGCCATGCAGAGTTCCAGGGACAGAGGTGGCACTGAAAGGGTCTCTCGCCAGTGTGAATGCGAACATGTGCATCCATGTTGCTCTTCTGAATGAAGCCCTTGCCACAATAGCAGCACTTGTATGGGCGCTCGCCCGTGTGTATTCTCTGGTGCCTCTGCAAGTCAGTGCGGTTTTTAGTAGAGTAGCTACACATGTGACACTGCTGCAGATGTTTCCCCTTGAAGGAGCCCAAGTGGCCAGGTCCTGGCTGGCCAGGTTTTCTGGGCACGGTGATCGAGTCTGCACAAATCAAACGCTTGCACTTTCAACAAGACACAGAATAAAATTGAATGCCGACATGGGGACGCTAGCCAATACAGCTACCATGCACTGGGGTAAGATGGCACTGAGAATAAGGTAAAATGAAATGGCGAAAGTTTACGTGCACATAAATGTTCAGAAAAATGCATCACTTATAACTTGTGGTGCAGTCGACAAGCGAGATGAAACAGAAGCAATACATTCGAATTTTCTTGTAAATGCCTGCTTTGAAATTACTTTCTTGAAATGGCTTTATTCTTAAACAGTTAAAATAATCAATGTTCCATGTTTGTGCGCTATTATAAAAGCAGCCACAATGATTGCTGCCAGAGTTTACTCTAGCTACCAAGTTCTCAAGTGCGACTCACGAAGTACATGCACAGTAAACGAGTATTGACAGGCCATTCCAAGGCAAGCCACTGTAGGTAGGAACAAGGAAACTTAGAGCGACACCTACCTCTGTTAAATGTCATTTGACAAGATGCAAGCCTGCTCTCTGACCTAGTGAGAAGTCACATACAAATGGAGACAGAGAGAAGGTATTTAATTAACTACTGTAGATCTAAGAGCTTGAACCTTTCTTGTGGATACGTGTCAAGCCGCCCATGAGCCAAAGCAAGCAATCATTTGGCCGTTTGTGATATGAGACCATAAATATTAGGAAATGGTTTTGAGTTTACTGTTCGGTATCATGCACTACATTTGTGACATAGCTAAGCTAAAGGAGACAAAATTTTGCAGCATATCTCGCAAAGAATGCTGCAGTATTTTTATTTTGAAGAATTTGCACTAGGTATGTGTTTATGTCTGCATTTAGTAGACGACGATGTTTAAAAATGAGTCTTTCTGTGCCTTAATATTATTTTTCTTGCCTGTGCTTTGTTGAGAATGTGATTGACAATGTAGCATTACAGAACAACAATACACATGAACACTGAGGACAAACTTTGTCATCTTCTTATCTACAATGCACTTTCACAGGCATAAGCATGATGCAGAGTGGTAAAATATAATCTGTCAGTAGGATAAAAAGGAACCTGGTAAAAAATCGAGAGCTTTCTGCTATGGCGTGCTTCGTAATCATATTGTTATGAGAAAAATAGACTCGAAGGCACACATGTATTTACAAGTGGTTACAAGTGAGCAGCACAGCCGATACAATAAGCTCGCATCAGGCTATCTTTTGTTGCCCTCCTCTTCATCTGTTTGGCCACTGGCATGTAGCATTGTTGTTGTTGTGGCACATAAAGCCTTAAAAATTATTATAAAGCTGCAGTTGCACTTCACACAACTAGAAACCTCACACAGGAGAATTGCAAATGCATAATGACGATGTGGAGTTCTTACAGAATGGCTTAATTTGTTCTGAAAACACTATTCGAATGCTTCAACAGCAATATGCCCTCTGCACATTCAATCTTTGAAAACTGACGAAAACACCATTCCTAATAACGAGCTAAATAAGCAGATGGTATTCAATTATTTTTTCGCTGAGCTATTCCCAATTCTATGCATCTATGAAAAAATTGTGATTCAAATATTTTTTTTCTTCGTAGGCAAAGACAGTTGATACAAATACCGACCACGAATAAAAGCAACATAATACCAAGACATTTTGGTTCCCACACTGGAGCTTTGTGAACAAGGCACTTATGTGAGAGCCAAGACGTTTTGCTTTTATGTTGCTTTCATTCATGGTTGGTGTTTATTTCAGTTGTCTTCAGGTTTTTCCTGACCAGATGGGTTTCCGCACAACTCTCAACTTTCCTCACATGTTATCGCATGTAATCTACAGTGTGCACCTCAATATCTCTGTCGTGGTCTGGAGGCACGTACAGGCTAACAAGTGTAACGAAGGAATTACTACAGTATGCGCAAGTGTACAAGCGTATCCACTGTTATAGCTAACATAGCATGCGTGGCAGCACTCCTTGAACCATCAAAAAGTATTGCGGCGCAAGTGCAATTAGCAGCCAGAGGTGGAGTTAGCTGCACGTTGTCTGCTATGATTCCTCCCACTTCACCACAGGTTGACAGGTCACTTTCACTCTCTTCACTGAGTGAAATATGTTACCCGCTGGTCTTACAAAGAAGTTGTATGTATGCAGATCAGAAATGCGCCACCGTTTCACAGTGCCTGCAAGAGAAAGCACAATTTAATTCATTGCGAGAGCTATATTTAAGAGAAAGTTCAAAGACATTATTTTCACTTCTCACATCTTCTAAGTGCTGAAATAACTGAACATGAAAGCTTCATAGGAACACATATTCTAGAACCCACTCTGCTTCAATTCTTGCTGGTACAAGGTCTCAGTGCTCACAATAGGAGGCCATTGTAGAGCGATCACACACAAGGAATCACACATTGGGACAGTGTTTTCCAGCATAGGACACAGGTCTGATCGAATGTTCTACAAAAGAGTCAGCTGTGGGGCTAGCTTGTTCGACATCCTGCATAGGGGAGCGCACAGAATTGGTTGAGAAAAAAGAGCGCACATCAGAAAAAATGCTTTTGTCATTCAGGTGTTTTTTTTTGCTAATCAATTTCATGCTGCCCTATGCATGACGTCGAATGCTCTATATCTACACATTGTAGAATAACTAGTGCACAGTATTTGGAAAGGGTCACTAAATACGGACAACTGGGATAGGTGCTTCTGAACAGCATTACGATACATCTTCGATCACATGAAAAAGCACATGAAGAGGAGACATGGACACCCACAAATGCTGGTAGAAATGGATATAAATGGAAAAATGGGCATAAGCATTTGTAGTGTCCATTTCTACTGTGTTCATGCATGTGTTTCTCTGCTGGAAGGTGCATCATACTGGAAAGTTCGCACCACTCTGCAATATACGTTCGCAAAGGTGCAGTGGTCTCTTCCGATGTGTTGCACCTCGAGAATACGGAGTAGGTCCGTAATAGAGACTATAAGACTAACTAACGCTTTTTTCTCTCCTGTTTCTCCACAGTGCTTTCACCAATGTTATTCAAGTAAATGTGCACACCCTATAGTGGCATAATAACCATAAAATTTCAATTTAATGACTAAAAAATTACAGGAAGAGGAAGATTGTGATGAAAAAATCCATAAACAGGGGATGTGCTGAGCTTAAGTTTTGACACCAAGCCCAGTTTATGGGTTTTTTCATCAATTTAATGACTAGCGATATAATAAAAAGTGATCATTTTCTCCACAATTTCAGCTAAAACTTGCATATACCAGAGGGCAGCACGAAGCTCTCCACAGTACGTCCTCTATAATGAACCTCCTTCCGTTTTGCGAGCAACTGCAGAGCTTATTTGGCAACATCAGCATGCAACTGCTCTCGGAAAGCTTGAAATTATACATACATCAAATATTATAAATATAATGAGGCATAATTATACTTCGGTAAGCTAGATAACAACAATTTAGGGGAAGGAATCAGAGGCTCATTTTGTCTATTCAACACAATCAAGCAAAACCAAAAGACAGTGAAGTTGAGAAATGTATAGGGGATAACATATATTTTTCATGGTCATTGACGCAAATAGCAACATTTTTTTAATTTGCAAAGGCACAGAACAGAAGTTTATGCAACATGTATCCTATGAAAAAGTAGAATATTAAATATGCCATTACAGATGGTATTATGTAGGTTACCATATACTATTAGAGGTTGTGCCGTAATAGTGCAGACTGCAAGCCCACATGGAGTATATAGTAAACTTTTCAGTGCCTCCTCATCCTGCTAAATTTCTGATGTTGCCAGTGCATCACATCAGAAGACGTGAGAAGTTCGTTCTTAGCTATTCGTAAATGCAACAGTAAAACATCAGAAAAAGAATTACTCTGAAAAAAGTATTGCCGATGTGTAATAGTGAAAAATTGTACGGCTACACATCAGTGAAACTTGTCTGCTCCTTGCTGATTTTAGGGGCGAAGCTCCTTAAGCTGCATGTCATGTGTCCGTCGATGTATGTAATAGTAGTAGGTAGCCACCCCTCATTTAGTCCTTAGAATATTCCTTGGATGGTGGTACTTGTACATGATGAGTATATGATGAAGAGATGCGAGATGGCGGTACTCGGAGTGTTCGCTAGATGGACGGACGGACAGACAGACGGACAGACAGGCGATTCGTGGTTTACCAATAAAACCCTCCGAAGCTTCACCCCACTTATCACCATTTACTCCGTGGATATGCTGCGATTTTTTTTCCATGATTCTAACAAAATCACATTATGCTGGTGCATGTACGTCACACAGCTGTATGCACACACAAAGTTTGCAGGCATGCAGGGTGTGATATGATCTAATCTTATTAGTAGTCTTTTCTCAAAATAATCTGCAGCAATATTTGAAAACAGTGAATGAAATTTGTGGCTTATTTAACAATGTGCAGAAGTTAAGTTATGTTCAAACATTGTAGCTATTTAACAATGTGCAGAGATAAGTTACGTTCAAACATTGTAGCACCTGTACTAATGAACAGGGAACTAGATACATTGTACAAAATTCGCTAGCTTCTTAAGGATTATGTACAGACTATCATCAATTGTTGACAAAGTAAGTAACACAGTGTTTGGTATTGCCCACAACCTCAAAAACATTACAAACTATAGCTTTTGCAGCAAGCAAAATGGTGAAAGAAAAAAACACTATAAAATGGTCTCACAACCGACTCATTTCGTTTGACTGATCGTGACATGGCTGAAAATAAACTGCTCTGTGCATATTGGTCCCATCAACACTAATCCACTGCCTTTCATGAATGGCAGTCTTGAAAACCTTACACATGAATACTCTTTAACCAATGGAAACCGGGAGAAATAGGCATCATACACAGAGGTTGGGACAAGCTGCACAACTAGCTGTCACCAAGTGGAACTGTGAACAGGTTATACATGCTTACACTAACACGGTGCTGCCTTACGGAAAAAAGCAAGACAAGGAATACCAAATCATGTTTATGAACTAGACACCGATTGTGACAAACAGGACCTATACACTTGCTCATCGCACTCTGCATCGTGTGCTTTGTCCTGTATTCTCTCTATACGAAACGTCTGGAATATTTTAAAACTGACCATTTCAAAGAACTGTACAACAGTCAAATGAACACACAGAGAATAGAGACATCCTCCCACCTGTGCTCCATGCCATAATGTGGCAAGTGGCCTTCAGCATTTCATAGAAACATATTTAGTAAATATCTGCATTTGAGAGATTTTACAACAATACTTCATTGCAGACCACTTGGTTCATAATTCGTTTTTTGTTTAGCTTGCACAACAAGTAGAGTTTCCAAGATTTTACATTACATTGAATTTGACAAACCAATATAATTTCGTAACATTTCGCATTGCCGGAATGGCAAAAGGAGTTCTATTTCGGTGCAGGGCAACCAATTTCACATTTTAATGATGTAAGTATGAATGTTCATTAGAATTCCCATACAACCTGAGAAACATTATGAATGGCAGCAATATGGTGATTCTGTGTCATGAAGTTCTACATGTGAATGCTCTTAAACATATTAAACTTTTTTTTTCTGCCTCCACAATGCCACCATTTGACAAGTCAGCTAAAAATGCAAGCTTCAGCAACTTGACAAAAATGTATATGGGGTTAATAAAAAAAATTGCAATGCTTGACGGCAGTGGGCCTGTTCATAAAACACCAAATTCTACATTTTTTGCAATGATTGCCTTTATTTCTCATACTCTGTCTGCTCGATTAAATAAAGGCAAAGGCATCTGCAAAGATTGAGTCAGTGTATAATATATGCATTTCAAGTGAGTAAAAACTGAAATATGAACACAGACCTATATAAGAATGGTTATTATAATGTACCTTATGAATTAATATGTCAATCACTTTATTAAAGCTTACAAGTAATCCCCTCACTCAACTGCTAATGCTAAACATGCTATGGTGGCTACGGCTTTTTGCTGCTTGTGATCAAGTCAGAAGTTAAATTCTTACAGTTGCCCATTGCATTATCATAACCTGCCTGTAACCGTTACCTGTCTGTACCATTCCGATTCCTCCCCCCCCTTACCCAATGCCCTGTTCTGGGGCCTGTAAGGTTTTTTTGAATAAAGAATAAAGAATAAGATAAAAATACAGATGCTTGTGTAATTATGTTTAAATACAAGTTACGAGAATTCTGAGCTGTTAGGTTCACACCCGTGCCACACGGGCACATAAAATGACATTCAGCAATTAAGCCACTAAGTTCCTAAATGACATTTTGTTTTGGCTTCCCTGCAAAATGCCTAAATTTAATGGCATTTGACCTGACAATGTCAATAAGAGTGAATTTCAAAATAAGCAATTTTAGGGCAATAATAAAACATAAACATTCATTTTAACAACCTCGCTCTAAGTTAGTGAAATGTAGAAGTAAGCATGTTATGGTGCCATTAGCTTGAGTTTGTTCCTGTCTTTTACGACACTGTAACCGACCGCAACTTCGGCCATTGCACGTTGAGTTTAATGCCTAGAATCAGACATGGCGTCGGTTATGTCGAAGTTGTAGGAGTTTTGAAGTGAATTTCACTTTGATGCAAGTGGAAAGCGCCATGCTATGTGTTAAAAGTCATGCATGTAAAATATTTTTGATGCGATAAATGCTATTTGAAATGTTTTATGTGTACTCCATTTCTCGAGAGCAAGCATTTTTTAGTTGAATGAGTTCTAGCGAAGGCATTAGATGACGAATGTCGTGAAAGCTAATGCTACTTTATATTTTCGTACGACACTGCAAATCGCACAAAATCTTATTGCATTAAAGAAGTTAATGCCATTTTCTGTACCCATGTACTGTAGGTATCAACCTCTTCCCCTTGATACCCAAATTGTAGTAATCTGACAAAATCTTGGTCACAACTCTAAGCCCTTAAAAAAATAAACATAATACAATGTCTCTAGTAAAAAAAAACATCCCACAAACAGAGTTTGTTTTTCTTATTCCCCTGCAGATTTGAGAAAGACAATTCCACTAATCAATACAATGGCTTCAGCACCCACCTCTTGTTTTCAAATTTTTAATCACAAGCTCCCATTCTCACCTTCTCCGTATTCCTCTGAAGTACTATGGAAATTTAAAGGTATCGCCCTTATAGCAGATATGCAAGTCTCGAGTGTCCACATACGACAAAATAAATGCAGAACAGGAGCCATCACAGACTAGAGGGGCCTAAATCGTGTGGCTTGACTGTCACTGGTCGAGCAGAGTTTGGATCCAACTTAAAGGAGCAGTGACACCAAATTTCAAACTCGAGTGGTGGCATTCATTTCATTGCTTGGTATGCACGAGTTTGTTTAGCGAAGTGTGAATGGGATCCTTTACATAGACATTATTCTATTTTGAGCGTAAGGAGCATCCAAAGGCTCAACCGCAAGTTCACTGCCATGCGACATCGACAGCATTTAGATGTGTTCAGCAAGCTCCTAGGCCATGCCTCAGGTGCTGAGTGACAATGAGCAAGCAGCGACGTTGTTGAGCCTCGCAACGGCTCCAGTTCCTTTGCTTTCCTTGGCTCGTGCAGCGCATTCCGTGTGAATCGTGGGTTTTCATTGTGTTGCTTCAGGTGACTTGTCGTGAAGTAGTAAGTGCAAATGTGGTTATTTCAAGCAACGATCATTGTAAACAAGTAACACGCAAGCAGCGTTCACATGTCTAATCAGTCAGCGTGGCCCAAGTATGCGTTTCCAGCTTCCTCGTCGCTGCTTGGTCGCAGATTTTAGAATGACTGCTCAGAAGAGGATCGAACCGAAAACAATTCGCCATGCCACCAATTGCTGCAGTTCCATATTTCAGTGTTTTAATGGTTGCTTGTGGATGCTGATGACGGCGGCAACAACCAAAACCCTTGCAGCACAGTGGTAGGGGCATATAGTGGTGGTTAACATGACCTTTGCAAACGTTCTCAACGGCATCATTGTTCTTATCAAAACAACACAATGAAAGTACTGAGAGGTAATGATTAGGTACCTGGCAATGCCTTACACGAGCAGTTAAGCAAAGCATGCAAGCGCTGCCATATAGCTTTGTGTGTGCCTGGTTAGGTTCCACATCATTGGCTGTGCCTACCAGCGTTGCACATCGCATTACGTGAATGTTAAACTCATAAACGGTAAGAAGTCTACGGACAAACGTTCTATCAGACCACGTAACATGAGCACTTGAAAACTACGATCACTCATAAACGTGTAGTGGCGACCGCGGTAAAGCAGGCTCAGTAATCATTTCCTCTGTTGCTCAGCGAGTGGTTCGAAACACTCATGTTCTCTTCGTGAATGCTCGAAAGTTCTTCGCCAGCAATGAACCTCGTCTAGACGGTGGAGTGCACACCTGTGTTGTGTAGCTGGCAGGTATGTCGTCGACCCGTCACTTCAATTGGTTTCCGTACATCTTGGGCACAGAACAACCACAGCGATCGAAGGCTGTATTACCCACTGAGAGCACGCAACACCAACACTCCAAGCTGGTCAAGAACAACTACAAACACAGCATGGTGCTGTCGTAAAGTATCAACAACAAGACATCACAGATAAGATTGAACTCCCTCCATTAACTTATTGTTGCTGCTTACAACGATGGAGCTTTATTAGGGATGTCACTGAAGGTGTCAAAGGCTTTTAATAATTATTATCAAACATAATTCCAACGTAATTTTAAAACGTTACACATTGTAAAAATTACATTTTTAATTTTTTCTTGAATTTTTTTATTACTCTAAATAGTTTTTTTTTTCAATGCAGTGCCAGTACAAGCCTATTATAGAGCGATCCAATCCAAGAATCAGCTGAACAGCTGAACATAAACTTGGTGACGGCAAATGGGTCGTTCTTACCTGTTTGTCCCGCCACGAATTGAAGCCAGAAATGTAATCGAGCGATTTTCTCGATCCAGCGTTGTCATATGATTATCTCTAGACGCTCATCGTCGTCCTAGCATGTGATGATGCCATGGCGATCAGCCTGAGGCGCGTCACTGTTGCCGTGCTCGCGGTTTACATCGCGCTGACCTGTTACACCGCCTACGTGCTGATTTCGAAGAACTACGGCTCTAAACCGAAAGAGAGCGGGCGGAAAGGCCCGTCCCGCTTAACCAGTAAGTCACCTTACGTTTGGGGGTCATCACAATGTTGAAAGAACGACTGCATGCGCGTCTCCGCGCACGAGAAAAACACGTGTGGCGGAATCTGGCGAACGAGCTCGCGTAGTGCCGTTTCGCCGTTATTTTCAGCATGTCTGTGGAGACTGACTGACATCTTCACGTGCGAAAATTGACCAGTCTACTAAGCTCGCTTCGGCACCACGGAGTTGCGCAAGGAAGCGCGTGGTATTGTTTTCACACACAGCCCGATCGTTTTGTTGGCGTTTAAAACGACGCTGGCCGCGCGCAGTGCTTCGCTCACCTACAGCTTACTGTGATGAGCTGTGTAATTTGCTTGCGCTGAGGAAAGATTTCGCGTGACTCACAGAACTGTCACAACTTTCGAGCTCCAACGCGATAAAGTGAAGTTGGAGCAGACAGCGACGGATAATTTATTTGCCGTGTCGCTGCGCCTCGTGAGAACACCTTGTGTAGGGTAAGCGGTGGGTCATCGGAGGCGTCTCGCTGAGGGGATCCATGTTGATGATTTATGTTTAGCTTTAGAGTAACTTACCGATTGCGCCCCGCCGCGGTGGTCTATTGGCTAAGATACTGGGCTGCTGACCCGCAGGTCGCGGGATCGAATCCCGGCTGCGGCGGCTGCTTTTCCGATGGAGGCGGAAATGTCTTAGGCCCATGTGTTCACATTTGGGTGCACGTTAAAGAACCCCATGTGGTCGAAATTTCCTGAGTCCTCCACTAAGGCGTCTCTCATAATCATATGGTGGTTTTGGGTCGTTAAGCCCCACATATCAGTCACTTATCCAATTGCTCTGTTTAAGACAGCATAAATTGGAATTCGTGGGGCGAGGCCTCCTTCGCGTAATGGACCTAAAATAGGCCGACGATGATTAATTTCACCAATGAACAGCAGTAGTAGCATCCACCTTTGCCCATCTATACCTGTGTCTTCTGTTTGAGTTCGTTTATAAATTTCATGCGTAATAAGGCTATTATAATGTAAGTCTGTGCTTATATCCCAGTTAACTTCCCTCCTGTTTTTATGCACTGCTACTATTCCAAGTGCCTCTCCCCTACTTTCTGTAATTTCCCCTAAATTCTTATTGTAAGACCCAAAGCCACTGAATCTCATATGCTAGTTCTGACCAAGTTCGAGCTAACTTGTGGTTCAGAGGATGGCTTGTGCAAGACAAGTGCTGCTTATGTTTTGTGCCCACATAAGCAGTCGTTTAATCGAAATGCCACAGCACTCATGTGCAGTGCTCACTGATTGAAAATGCAACAAGTTGGCGACAAGCAGTGCACCTGCTTTCATATGCACCGGGCTGTTTGTGTGTGTAATTTTGACTCGAACGCTTGTATCAGAGCCAACCTTACTTTAAGCAACCTGATTCATAGCGACATGACGCAATTGCTACAAGCAGTTGCACCTACCACTCATTATATACATAGAGTTGTGATGTCACATTTCAATGCGTGAGCACAGTGGTAAGATTTTGGTAACTTTTGAAGAAAGACGTGTAGTCAAATATGAGCTGATCACTATGGCCTGCCTCATAATCGTACTACAGTTCACATGAACCGCAGTGTGGGGGCTATACTAATGTGAAGGATGGCAGTTATTCGGGCGCCCACGTAAAGAGCGGTGGTTGTTTTCCAAGGCTTTCACAGGACTGAAAAAGAGGCTCGAGATTTTTCGGCAAGTCTTATTTGTAGATACGTGTCATTTCTTGTGACCATGTACAAGGTCGAGCTTTTGTTGTTTTGTTGATGGCGTTAGTGCACATAGGTCAATGTGTGTGGTTCTTTGTGTGCGTCTATTCAACAATGAATAAAATTCATTTGGTCTTTGACAGCTGTTCCATCTACAGCATCGTCCATTGCTGTCTTCTTTGCATTTAGATGTTTTCGTATGTGGCATGAAAGGAGTACAATGAAACACTGCTTACCAAACTGCCATAAAGGGGCCCTGCAACACATTTTCAGCATGTTCGAAAAATACTGGCGAAATAAAACCACTTCTGATTCTGATCCCAAGTGGAGGCTTCTGAAAAGACACAAGCCACACGTCATAGCATAGTACACCACCTGGAATTTCGAGAATTGTCAAAATTAGCTAAAGACTGCTACCTCTTCTTTCTACTAGTGATGCCATAGGCTGAACATGATCGACCCAAATCCTTCACCACTGTCTGATTTCAGCATCGCAGGCTCTGTAGTTACTGTGTCCGTAGTGGGAGGAGGCCAGATGTCCGCATGCACATTCATCATCACAGTGAACGCGAATCAGTCAAGGCGGTGGTGCGGCCTAGTTGGTTTGGGTCACTTGCATTTATATTTGTTGCGCAAAAAGGAAAAAAACGGCGACACTGAAGGAACACATAAACAGAACTGTTGTTAGACATCAAGTGATCCTTTTTATTGAAAAAGTAAAAAACCATCTGACATGAGCGCATGCACAGTCACACTTTGAGGTGCTTTCTTATAACTGCAATGTCATGTGTTACTACCTTGCATGCGCAAGATTTACTTTCAAATACTCAACCTTTTTGCTGGATAAGGCAACCGACGCCACGCTGACACATTTTCTTTCTCACTGATAGTGAATGCTTTATAATTCCTCCCGTTGCCTATCCTTGCCTTTTCTACGCACGCGATTGGCGAAATCGGGAGCGCAACTGCACCTGCGGCAATGATCCACCAAATGACCTCTCGCTGCTTGTGTGTCAACTACCACACAGTGCTCTCGCAATCTGTAATTAAGACAGATTTCAAGAGCACTGTTCACATGCATTGATGTCTGATGATTTCTGGCTTTTTCAATAAAAAATCAGTTGATATCTAGTGCCCGCCCTGTTCATGTGTTCATTCTGTGTCTGCCTTACGCTACAAATATGAATGCAAGTGAAGGTAAACCACGCACTCAATAAAAGAAGAAGTACTCAACGTCATGATGTGCACATGACATAGCTTTTTTCTGCCGTGGCATTCTTTGTTGGTTAGCTTCCAGCACATTCATCAGGATGAGAGAAAAGAGAAAGAAATTATGTGCGGCAAAAATCTAACTCCACTCGTACTTGGTGGATTCTAAAAGTCTTTGCAACTGTCGATTCGGGGGGCAGTGATCTCTTTTAGTAAAGCCGTTCGACAATTACTTGGAAAAGTGTTGCAGGACTCCTATAGCACTTTCTACATCAAGCCTGCATTGGGTGAAATAAATGCCAATGACATCGTTTGACTAGAATAAAAGTTGTTTCCTTCTAGCTTTTCGTTAGCTGGTAATAGTGGTTCACCAAAAAGAAGCCTTCTATGACATAGGAGTGTTGTAGGTGTTCCCATCTGCTGGCTTTATAGCCCCACAGTTTCTGCATTCCACAAAGCTAATGTATCGCCTACCAACTTCATTGTGATTTACACCCAAGGATTACAATGGTAGACTACTTAATAATCACAATAAAGTTGACCGAAGACAGTGCTACTGTTATACCAGTGAACAGCTAGTATTACACATTATAAACCATAATTTAATCAAAATTAGTGTTGCCACGGTCTTTGAAAGATCCTGGCTGAACCACTGACCCTTTTGAAAAAGACAAGAAACAGGGTATTGTAGAGTTACATTATTATCTCGTGCCACCAGGAACCAAGGAAGGAGCCGAGTGGAATCCATGGGGAGAAGAGCTGAGCCGAAGCAATGCGTCACGTCTGGCCCACACCATTGAGATATGGGGCAAGGCAGCCATAGGTATGAAACCCTCCCTCGTGATTTTCTATTATTTGTGCTTAAAGGGACTTAAAGGCAAATATTGAGTTGTCATTGATGGGATGGCTGCAATAGCTATTTAGAAACCTCATGGTGCTACTTTTGTGCCAAAAAAATGCTTATGTAGAAAAATAATAAAGTAACGTTTTAGTGGTCCGCACAGCATTAGCCCACTTCAAATAACCTGCCTGAAAACAGGCCTCTCTGCAGTTGCCTATCCCAACTTTGCCCACCTTTGCGCGGCTTCCGACATACACAAAGAGTTGTAGGAATGCAGGGTTACTGGACGGTGGTGTCGACAGTTTGTGATGATTTGTGCGACTACAGCCATCGACACATTTATATTTGCCTAGGGTTTTAAGGGGAAAATGATGAATGAAAAAGGCAGCTTGTTTGTAATTATGTCACTGCAGCACATTCAAACCAGAAGTAGAATGCACAATGTTCCTGCAATATAAATTTGGTTATTGCAAAGCTCAAGTGGGTCCCACTAGATGGTGCCACTTATTCAGCCAAACCAGGCAAAAATGGAACTCTGTGAACTAATTGCATTGGTCCCCATAGTAATGCCAAGTGTTTTTTTTTTTTTTTTAATCAAACGTAAACAAAAAAACATCATTTTATTACGTGCTCTAATGCACAGACGGTTCTTTTTTTTATTGCAACTGGTTTGATTACTAGCGGTTAATTGTAGTAGGACCCCATGACATCATTGGGATCATTTCAAAATGTCCCACTCGTGGTTCGTATTGGTTCGTATATTTACCTTAATTTCTCAAGAGCACTGCTGTTGATAATGAGGACATTTTAGGTGTTCTCAAACCTCGGTCTTTCACTCTGACTTAAATTGTTATTTGACTTTTGTGTTTCATAAAGTAAAACAGTTATGTACCAGGAACAATACCGATTGCAGTGGCTCAGCCGCTGTGTATTGTTAGTGGTACATGCAGTTGCTTAGGTGGCAGTATAGCCAAGACCTGCTTATTGTACCAGTGTCCAAATCAAATCAAAATGAGTTTATTGAAAAGCAATTACAAAACATTTGGACCAGTAGCTTATCTGGCTGGTAGCTAGTCTAATAAATAAGTAAAGGTTAGCAATGCACATTATTGGTCATAAAATTATTGGTTTTATACATATTTACAGTTTTAGCTCTGTACAAATCTAGGAATTGTTCACTGAGGTCTTGATGTAGGTATGTGATGGTATTTAAGCTCTTATTGGTGGCTGCTTTCAAACTTCCATAACTGCACACCAATCAACATAAGGTTTTAAGAGCGCAATGTGTATTAGAAAGACAATTAATCTAGCTGATGGAGTTGAAACAAATCTAGGAATTGTTCACTGAGGTGTTGATGTAGGTATGTGATGGTATTTAAGCTCTTATTGGTGGCTGCTTTCAAACTTCCATAACTGCACACCAATCAACATAAGGTTTTAAGAGCGCAATGTGTATTAGAAAGACAATTAATCTAGCTGATGGAGTTGAAACTCTATTTAACAAAGTGATGACTGCACTCAAATTATCTCGTCAAATCACAACGGTAACAAAAACGAGAAAGGGATCCTTTGGTCATTAGGTCTCTAAAATTGTAATGTAGCAACACACAAAAGCCACTGTGGCATTTTATTTCCCATTAAAACACACCTGCGCATATCAAAAGTTCATTAGGGCAGCCGAGACATCAAGACTCCCTTGTCCAGGCAATACAGACAAGGTAGACAGTTGTGTGAAGCTATGGCAAGCTGCTGATATGCCAAGATGGGTAGAATGAATACAATTATTCCATGAGTTAGGCAGTGCAAGGAAGTTGCAAAGAAATGATCAGGGCCATCTGTCACATTACCATGAATGATGAAAACAGTTGTGTTTCTTCGGGAGCATTTGAATGAATGACAATTCACAACCACCATCTCGAGCTACATCTGGTGTGTAAGAGCACTAGTGAATGTCGAGTCTATTGTGCTGTGCCTGGGTGTGACAGGTAGCCTCGTAAAAATAAAACTGGGTTTGGGAATAAGGTAGCTAATTGTTTTAACTGGATAGTGTTAAAGCACATGGCCAGAAAAAAAATGTCTAAATTGAAAAGGTATCATTGCTTTACTTATTTATTTATTTGCAGAGAAGCTTCACTGAATTGGGTCTGGTGCTATGATAGCTTTGTGATTTTGAGTTTATGGCACCTTTGCAGTTTAAGGGGACCTGCATGGGAATGAAAATTCTTTCATCTTTGGATTTGGGAATTTGTAAAGTTTGGTTCCATTAGATGTAGTTTGGTTTCTAGCTGTACTTCCGTAGTTAGGGGAGAAAATATGGAAGCAGAGGAAGCAGAATGTTCAATCTGTAGAGTGGCCTATCTGCGGTTCGTTAGATATAGTGGTATCTGAGGAATTATGAACTGAGCCACGAGTTCTCAAGCATCAGATGATCTGTTTGAAGTGAATAATGAACGAACTTGACATGGCTTCAATAGGCCCACAATGTTGCCTTTTGTAGCCTGCATCGTGGCTATGATGTATTAGCTTGATAGTGTTAAAAAGCTTGTTTCGCAGAAATTTTGTTGTCTGCATTAGCGACCCTCTCGATGGTTGTAAGCAAAACTTGAATAATAATAATAAATAAATAGATAATAAAATGAATAATAAAAAATTTCGGACTGAGTTGGAGTTAAACCCAAACCTTATGCATGACAAGCAGGTTTTCTATAAAGGGCCATGCCATTTCTTCAAACTGCTTCGAAAGAAAACCCTGTATGAATGTCGTGTAATGCGAGGAGTCTCCTTAATGCATGTATTGTTGTGTGGCAGGAGTGTAGAATCAGGCCAGCGTAGACATGTGAACCAGTGGCGTAGGCAAGAGGGGGGGGGGGTTGAGGGGGTTTTGACCTTTCCAAAATTTTTGGTCCAACCCCCTCCACCCTGCGACTTGCTCAACTTTCTTTTTTCTCGTCGCTTTGCGCTGACATGATTTAGAAACTGAGTGCTGCTGCTATCACAATATTATTCCTGGGCGCTTTTACAATGAATGTCAGCATACGAAAAAACGTGTCGCGGTGTTTCTGAAGGCTTTAGCACTCTGTGGGATTTTGGACAGGAATCTCCGCCATGAGTGTTTCAGGTTGGCTCGGCATTGGGAATAATGCTTAAATTTGTGGTAATACTTGTACCCGCCGGAACAGATCTCGCCAGAGTCGATCACTACAATAATTTTCAATAGGCAGAGCTTCATTTTAATGAAAAAAGCCAAACACAGATCTAAGGTCTGATAGGCCAGGTTAAAGCATATTACAGGGTTACTCTTCGTACGTGCACTAAGATATACTCATGCCAAAGAACAAGATTTCTATTGGACCTTCACAATTTTCGCTAAGATCCAAAGACACGCACACACACAAATACATGCACGTACACAAGGCGCACACACACACATGCGCACAACACAATATTCGGTTCATACACCTAACTTGGCTTGCATGTGAGTGTACAATATATTCATACATATCTTTCCTATGCCTTAACAGCTAAAAAGACTCCGAAGTGTTGTCTAGTGACGAAGGTACAATACAGACAAACGTGCAGGCCAATCACAGCCTTAGAAAGGCCTACCTAAATATTCATCATGTAACTTAGGCTGATAAATAAAAAGATGGTGGTCATAAACTACGTGCAGCGTAATGAAAAATGCAGTGTAGGCAGCTGTAGTGAGCACAAGCTTTATTGTTCAGCGCTGTGGCAAACAGCGAAAGAATAAGGAACACAAAGCTGAAAAACCATATGACAAATTATATATATTGAAGACTGTGTTTTGCGCGCTGGTCGGGAACACGTGGTAGCTGTTGTATCTAGCCAAGAAGCCGATGGTGACATCCTAGCTGCCTCTGCTCCTCGACTGCACTACTCATGGAATTCTTGTCACCTCTGGTCTGCTGTAGTTGTGCAATGGCCGCCCTCTTTTGCACCTTTGCAACACAACTGCAAAATAAATGATGTTACCCAAGGGGATGACTGTAGCGATGACACACGCCTCTCCATTGACCTCCATCGCAGCACTTTGCCCAACTTCATCGTCACTGCCCACATCAGGTGCGAGTTCTTTCTCTTTCCGGGCAATCATAGGTTCAGACCTAACACCTGCCTAGTCAGCAGGGCTATTGGCACATTTAGCTAAGCATAAGGCCTGCTTCGATAGCTGTGCCGTGGCATTTAGCCATGTGGCTGTACACCGCATTGAAACCGATGGTTCTGGTGTTATATGCCGTCGGCCTTATCGTGTCTCGTAATCCGAAAGGAAACTCATTCAAGAACAAGTTGACGATATGCTATCATGCAATACGGCCATCTTCTAGTTCCTGGGCTTCTCTGGTCGTCTTAGTAAAAAAAACAACAACATGGTTCCGTTCGTTTCTGCGTTGGTTATTGTGCGCTAAATAGGCTCATGCACAAGGATGTATATCCTATACCTCGAATAGATGACGCCTTGGGCACATTATAAGAAGTGAATTATTTTTCCAGGCTTGACCTACAATCGAGGTATTGGAAAATCCCCATCAATGAGGCTGACAAAGAAAAAAACTGCCCTTGCTACGCTGGATGGACTCTACGAATTTAATGTAATGCCATTTGGCCTGTGCAAGGCTCTGGCAACATTTGAGCGCATGATAGATACTATTCTTTGTGGCCTGAAGACCTGCCTTTGTTATTTAGATGGCACTGTTGTGTTTTTATCTATCTTTACCCAACACTTTCAACAGTTATACGAAGTGATTCAGTGCCTTTCGAACGCTGGCCTTCAGATAAATACCAAAAAGTGCATGTTTTCCAGCAAACGTATAAAGGTACTCGGTCACGTCGTTTTAGAAGACAGAGTCCGGCTATATTCCGACAAGATAGCCGCTGTACTGCAGTTTCCTCAGCCTTCCACCCAAAAGACGTTGCGCAGTTTTCTTGGCCTGGTGTCCTACTTTTCGTCGTTTTATATGCAA